AGTACGGCCTTTCACACCGGGCTGCAACATACATGTGTACGTCTAGCGTGAAGGGGTTAAAAACAACTTCACTTTTAATGACGATGTCCTTTAATACTTCTCTACCCCCCACTCAGTGTAACCCATATAACTAAATACTTGACCTAAGCCAAGTATTTGCATGCTGCAGTCTCATTCATTCCAATGGCTGGAAGAAAGTATGAGAGGCTGTGGTGTGGCACGCCGCGCCCCAACAGGACTTAAAGTGACATTAAACCCTCAGATTTTTAAACATAAAACAATACTGTAATGTGCGCCTTCCTGTCATCCATGGTTGTGTCCCTTCTCTTTGCTGCTCTTCCTTTTAAATCTGTATCTCTTCTCATGCTGGGGGAGAACTTCTGTTTTGCAGCAGACTGCCTTGTCTCAGGAATGGATACATGGTGCCTGTGTGTACGTTCACAACCTGAGCCAGCACTACAGGAAGAGGCAGTCAGCTGCAAAGGGAAGTTCTCCCCCAGCATGAGAAGAGATACGGATTTAAAAGGAAGATCAGCAAAGAGAAGGGAAACAACCATGGATTACATTACAGTAAGGCGCACATTACAGTATTAGTTTATGTTAAAAAATCTGAGGGTTTAATGTCACTTTAAGGTAGTCTTCACAGAGCAGGAGGTCACATTACAGCCGTCCCCTGCAACGTTGCTGGGCTTTCCCACAGTGGGAGAGGGATACAACGCTTCACATCGCCGGCATTGATCGTGTGATGACAGGAACGCCCGCATAGCACTTGTTTAAAAGACACAGAACTGATCTGCAATAAAAGTTAACCATTAGAGCTCACCTGATAGGAATTGTTCCCCAAGTTAAAAATGACACGCCATCCACAGAACTAAAATGATCTGGAAGTCAGAGCTGCAGCTTCCATCTAATGCTTCTCACTCAGATAATAGGCCCAGCTCCCAAAGCTTGAACCCCTTCATGACCAGTGTAATTGATCGCTAGGCCAAATAAAGCCAGAGTCTGTAAAAGAAGGCATTTATTAAAACGTTCCCTTGCCGTGAGGCTACACCGTGCACTGCGAGGGTTAGGTGCCCAGCATGGAATAAAACAGATATACGGAGCAGATCCTCAATCCCACCGGGTTTCTAGACCGGTCCCCCCAGCCTCTTCTGCCCTGGGCCCTTGTCCTGGTGTAAGGACCACTGACGTCCTCATGTCTAGTGTAGGTCCATTGACTTGCATTGGATGCGAGGACACCGAGGGATGTTCCACAGCCGGGGGGTGAGGGGGATCTGACTGCCGCAGGACTGGGGATCAGGTGAGTATATCTGGTTTATCCCATCCCGTAAAATAACTACAGGTCCCCCGCTGCTGATTGGCAGCAGCAGAGGGCGGGTGCATTAGCTAGTTTGTTATTGGCTATTGCAAAGTGAAAGAGCCAATAGGAATCTAGCTATGCATTCCTATGGTGGTTTTTTTCTTTTTCTGACTTACGTCGGCCGGCGGCTCCCGATGTCAGAAAAAAAACAACGATCGCAGGGAAACGAGCAGAGTAAACCTTTCTGGGAGAAAGTGTATCTCTCCCGGCCGGCCGGGAGCCCTGATCTAATAATGGGAGACTCCCGGACGACCCCTGGCAAATCGTCATTCAACCCCCGACGGGGTCGCGACCCACAGGTTGAGAACCGCTGCCCTAAAACAAGCACTTAACCCTTACAGGGCTGGGGTAGCCCCACTGCAAGGGAAAGTTTTTTTATGATGCCCGGCGTTCTTTAACAACTCTGACTACTTTACACCTTCGGCCTGCATGTGCTCTCTGTGTTATAGCTGACAAAGTAATCACGTGATTAGAAACCGCAGTGCGTGGGGACCGGAGCCGTTAGCGACGGCCGGGATTGAGAGCTGACAGCCATCCCAAGTGTTGGCTCATCACTCTGACAGGTGGGACATTTATTACCATACCCCCAGCAGGATGCCCCAAAAAGGAATATATACATTGCAGGTGGGGAGGGGTAAAGCACGCGGATATGGTGAAGATTTAGAGCCATCGGTCACATAGTCCAGATTTCGGTGACTGTTGATAAAATAAAGCTGCCGAAACAAGGGCCCCCTGCAAATAAGATCGTACATACCTCTCTGGCTGCCTGCCCACTGAACACCGCTGTAACCAACAGATGCTGTTGCCTCAAGACTTCAGAAATGGACTCTTCCAGGAGTGTCAGATTCCAGCTACCCCGTTGTGCTCTATGGTTCCTCCCACTGACAGCTACATCATTACAGAACACAGAAGTGACATAAGGACCAGCGGATCAAACCAATGAGCACAGCAGGGGAGTATCAGTTTCTACTCATTACATCGGGGTCCGGAGGTTGGTATTTATTTACAATCTTCTTTCCAGGGGACCCTTCTTCTGTCATCAGGAGTCACTTTAAGTAATATCCAAATAGAAAGTGGAGTCACGTACTGCACACCGAGCAACAAACTTCACTTCTTCTTTGGTTCTTTACAGGCGACCACATATCTCTGAGCCACGTTCAGGGGGGGAGAGTATCCGTCAGCATACGACGTGTCTTCAAACAGTACAGAGTAATCATCCTGAGGCTGAGAGATGAAACACAGGAGGATCAGCAAACCCAGGAAATAAAAGGGATCAGTAATCTATTTCTTCAATTCAGCAACAAGTACAGTTCCTCCCCCACCCCCAAATAATAGGAGTTTTGTGCTCATTGTAAAATCTTTTTTTTGGAGTCCACTGAGGGACACAGGAAGACGTTAACTGTTGGGTTATACTGCCACCAACAGAGGGTCTGGATACTGGCAATGGCCAGCCCAGGATAACCCGTCCAACTACCAGCGTGCCTCAGTTTGGGAGCAAACTAGTACCTAAGGATATGACCATAAACACAGAGAGGAAGGACCTGTGTACCTTAGTAGAGTCGGAGCAGATCAGAGATCTATGAGTGAATGTTCAGTGCTTTTCCCCATAGTTCTCCTAAGGCTCACGGGAGGACATATACTAGCGTTCTCCCGTGACCAAAAGCTCAGTATACCGCGAGTTACAGCTCGCTGTATACTGAGGCCGCCGCAGCTCATATAGGCGATCGGCGGGCTATGGACCCGCTGATCGCCTATATGTGAAACACCCGGTACCGGGTGTTCGCATTGGACGGGTCTTTTCTGCCCGTGCGTGCCCGCTAGGGGGCGCGCGCGAGCAGAAAAAAATTGCCGTCTGGAGACGGCAACCCGCAGATGCTGCAGTGCCGTCCGTCCGTTTTTTTACTACGGGCGGACGGCAAGAGGTTAAAGAGGACCTGGAAAATCTAGTAGGAGGAGTATGAAGGCCTTTGTGTGGCCCCTGTAGCTACATGAGAACATCTTCCCTAAAACACCAATAGGCCGTGTCCTCACCCGCTGCGGAGGAGCGTGTATCAGGGCCCGATAGAAACATGTTGTCTGGGGGTACAGCGCTAGTACCAGCTGATCCTTCTGGAACAAAGCCTCCGGGTCCGTCTCTGGGTTGGCTTTCCACTGCGGCAGAGGGATGATTCTCCGACGACTGAGTGTGTGACGCCTGCAGGACAGAGAATGAGACGACATTTAGTATAAAGTGTGTTCACTATGAGAGGTCTTCGATTCCAGAATCAGGCCGACGTCACCACATACAAGCTGCACCAAAACTCATGGCTGGCCACATATAAGAGCGCTGTAAGCTCATTCAGTGCAAAACCCAGAAGTGACGCTTCCCAACCTGGAAGGGATGCACTCCATCCTCCAGGGAGGCTGTGGACAGCACCACTTCCATTGAGCTTGATAAAGAGGTTGTATCCTCGAAACGCGTTGCTCCCGAACCTCCACCCACGACCATACTGAACTGACGACCTTCACCCCGGCCGTCCTTTCATCCAACATCGCCATCACGGCCCGGGCACTGGCCAAGTCTCGGTCCACACATAGATCGAGCCTTTTCCACCTGCAGCTGCAGCCACAGCAGCCCAGCCAGACGTCACCCCGCACATCGCCTGCACTCCCCATCACAGCAGCGGTGACACGGACTAAGTTTGTGTGCCACTACCCGCCCCCCTGTCCATCCCTCTTCTCTCGTCTCACCATCGCTTCCCTCCTCAAGATGAACAGCCTCAGGCAGCACACCAGTCCTCATTGAATACACACCTCGGTTCTCACGATCCTCCCCACAGACCGGCCCCCATCTGGTGATGAGATCCACTCAAAGTAAGTGCCACATTTCCTTCTGTTTTATCTTTCATTATGTCTCACTTAGTCATATAGCCCCTTCAGCTTTGCGCCCACACGTTTGTTCTTTTTGTGGACAGCATCCCGAGGGTCCCAGAGCAATACAAGCCCGCTGACCTCGCAGGCAATGCGTGCAGGAGCCGAGCCAAGGGGGAAATGTACACGCCTAGTCAAGGCTCTCCCCAGGCACGAAAGAGGAGAGGGGAACCAGGATGCCTCTTGCCAGCGCCACGGAGGATTAACTGGTGGCCAAAAAGTGAGAGAGGGGAATTCATTAAAGGGTAGAAGGGACTCAGCACAGCCTGTGATAGTAAGGTCCCCGC